TGGGTAAAGACAATAAAATCTCTACAATTTCACCTAAATGCAGCTTTTGCTGTTTTTCTTAATAAAAAGTTTCAAATGTTTAGCTTAGCGACACCTCGTCATGGATCACTTCGACATGCCAGGAGTTTGCAGGAGTGTACAGTGCAGGTGTGACCAGCTGAGCTCCTTGTCATTTCCCCATTGATTACACACTCATTAGCACAAAGAGTGCAGAGGTTTGCTTAAGAATTGTCAATGTAATTGCCTCTAATGTTGGCAAACAATGAGGCCTAATGCAAACCTAAGGCGAAGGCTTGGGGGGGGGGGGGGGGGGGGCTACTTATCACAATGCCTTTGTCCCTGTAATCTTTTAATTGTGTTTCATGCATAGATCAGGTTGAGGTGTCAAAGGCCCAGCAAGAGCAGGTGATATCAGCAGAGCAAACCTGGGAGGGACAAACATGCTGAGGCTGGGGGGGGGGGGGGGGGGGTTATTGTCCGAAGTCACTGTTCAATCTGGGCCGGGGACGGTAATTAACACCTCAGCCACACACCAAGCTGTGTGGCCCATTTGTTTTCTATTTGAGGGGAAAGAAAACAATGGGGAGGGGTTCTCTACTCAGTAGGTGATTGACATTATCTGCTGGAGCGATCCGCTGAGGCATTCCTGCAGCTCTGCTATTTACAAGCTGGGTAAAGCCATTTCACAAGCCAAACCTCGTCTGAGCAGCTGCTTTAAACCTTTATTTGCTATAGCTCTTAAGAGACAGACTTAATCCATTTGGGTAAATCATCCAAACACATAATTGGTTTAAGATAATAAGAATAGCTCCAAGTGGTATTTGTTTTCACCAAACTATCATATTTTCCCCAGCGGTCAGATTTAGAGATGTAAGAAAATAACAATACACAGAAATATTGAGATGTTTTTTTGAAGATCCACTTATTCACTACTTACCCAGATTAACGATCACTACTGATTTGCTTTTTGTGTTACTGCTTCTTAGTATTTTTATTCATTATCTATATGTTGTTGATTTTAATTTGTCCTAAACACGCTCACATATATTCTTATCCTCTGCTTTGCATCATCATTTTATGTATTATTATTTATGATCTTGACTTCTGCTACAGAATGCTGCTGTTGTGTCCTTGGGCAAGTCACTAACCCGCCTTGTCTGCTGGTGGTCGAAGGGACCGGTGGTGCCAGTGTTAAGTCTGACTTTTGTCAGTACGCCTCGGGGCAGCTGTAGCTACATTGTAGCTCCTCATTACCAGTGTGTGAATGGGTGGATTGTGCTGTGAAGCACCTTGGGAGGTTGCAGAACCCTAAAGCCGGGCGTACACTGTGCGACTTTTTCACTCGTAGCACTCAGCTTCAGCTCAAACTGACGACTTCCTCGCAGGGCAGATCTCACGAGTCATGCGCTAACACTGCACGACCCAGTTCTCGGATGCGATCTGACTGCTCACACTGCACGTCTGGTAGCAACACGTCGGCCCTAAAAATATGCTAAAAATAGCAGTTTTTACTCAACACGTCAGACTTTTGGTCTTGTTTTGCCTGTTGTCCTTCGGGAGTGCTGCAGGAGGACACACGGGGATTTATGGGGGTTGGATGAGGAAAACGAAATAAAGAAAGTAAATCTGTGTTTTGTGATCAGTTTAATTTGACATGAACACGACAAACACGCTTTCTTGACAATCTTTGTGAGTAAAAAAACGCGTAGAAATTAAAACGAACAACGTGTGTTATTAGGGAAATAGCGGGGAGCAGTGTTGATGCAGGATTGCGCATGCGCCGTGAGCGGTTCTGATACATTTTGGGTCGCAGCTGCTCGCAGCGCCGCTTCAACAGTGCGATACCCTCACGAGGGACGAGCAAAATATTAAACACGCCAGAAGTCCGTGTGAGCTCACGATTGCTGATCGGTAGCTGGTCACGTGGTGTTAATCGCCTCTCGTAACCCCCTGTACACTACACGACGCTCGGCGCAAAACTCACCCCGATCTCGTGGATTCTCTCACGAGTGGAAAATCGGCTCAAAAAAGTGAAAAAGTCGCACAGTGTACGCCCGGCTTAAGAAGGTGCTATACAAATACAGGCCGTTTACCATTTAAATTCAGTCCTAAAAATTGCAAATATCATCTAACTTTATTGCAATATATCGTATCGTCTCCCCAATATTGTGATATAAATTTATATCACTGATGTACGATACCATACATATCAAATCGTACATCCCTAGTCAGATTAATCAAGTCTTAAGTTGACAAATAGTTGTTTTCAAAGTTTTTTTTTTATTTGAGTCTCTTTGGCTAAGTGTCTGACTTAGTTTGACAGCAAATGTCCAGACATCTGTCTCTTCTCCGTGCTCTGATGTTCGCCTGCAGTATGGCACCACACACATCAGAGATGACAAAGACTCTTGGCTGTGTTTTCCCCAGCTCTGTGAGGGCGATGTAACAATTAGAACCCAGCTCTGGCGGGCCACATGCCCCAGAGCATATGTTGCATTCTCTCTGTTCAAACAACCAAAGGGCTCCAGTGCAGCTTTTTTGGAAAATTTCAGCGCCATCACTGCCACCTTTGTCGCATCTGGGTCCTGTAAAAAGTAGCACGATCTACTGATGTCTATTCTGAGTGTTGGAGGCAGCAGGGAAAGCTGGAAGACAATTAGAGAGTGATGAAAATGGATCAGCTAAACTTCTCTTTAGATTCGGGGTTCTTTCTGTTCTCTGTCCGAGGGCATTTAACCAGGTCCCGGGCTGAAACAGACATTTCTGTGAGCCCTCACCATATGTCTGTATTTACTTCTAATAAAACAAGGCCATGTGTAAAGCATTAAAAGCCCTGCAGTTGAGTTGTTATGACTTTATCTCAGTTTCAGTCTTTTACAAACATCTAATATCACTTAAGCCTTGCCATAACTATTTGGGTAATCCGGTTTTTATTGTCCCAACTTTTTTTCGGACACTTTTTTTTACTCTTAACTGTTCAAAAGTTTTTCTTTTGGAGCAGCATAGCCCACAAATCCTCGTCCTTTGTTTCCTGAAACACCTCAACACACCGAGTCAGCCTCTCTCTCTCTCTCTCCTTCTCGTGTCCCAGTGAGTGGTGTGTTGCTCGGGTCCGGACGGGAGCTAATGTGACAGCGTGCGGCTGGTGTTACCTCGCGGGATGTTTTGGGAAGTGTGTGAACAGTTGCTACACAGGGCCACACGGGCAATTAAAAGAAAAGTAGGTGCTCAGGAAAAAAAAGCGCCCAGGGGCATGTTCCTCAGTCCTGGCAGAAGCTGTCAAAAAAAAAAAAAAAATGGATGGATCGGGTGGGAGAGCCGGGGTGGGCACGGACGAACCCGAACAAACGCTCACAGTGGCACTTGTTTCGTTTGTGGAAGGACTCATGATTGACATAGATTAGACAGAGAAAACTGCATTGTTTTGGATTTTCTCTCCAGAGAGCAGCATTCATTAGGCACCCTGCACCGGCAAAGTTTCAATAGGGAGCTAGCAGCCTTTAAAAGCAACTGCCTCCTGACAGTTGTATGGACTTGGGCCCATTAGTTGGAACCTACGATTCAGCCTTGAGCAGTATAGTGAAAATGAAGAGGGCTGATGTCAACTCCAAGAATTCCCCCTCTTTTCGAAGGGAAAAAGGGACCCCCTTCCCCCTGCCTCGGTGCTCTGTTGGACCCCAGCTGTCAGGAAACAATACCCTCTGCCTGCTCCGACAAACTCATTCCTGAAAATGTTTTTTTTTCTTTCTTTTCCTTCTCCCCTCCTCTCCCTTTTCCCCCTCCTGCGATAATGTCTTTTCCATTTTTAACCCACAGTCACCCAGCCTTCCTTCCTCCTTACAAACCCAGAGTGACGAATGGAGTTTTAAAAACCCAAAGCTGAATGCATGACTCCTCCGGTTTGCTTGTTTGTCATCATTTATCCTGTTCACCTCTGAAGAGAAAACATCACTTAGCATATTTTCTTTATGCAGATTTGTCTCTTTTTTTTAAATGTCAAATGCTTATTTATTATCTTTCTTCATTCATCAAATCTTTGCAAAGAGCTGTTTGTGCCGAAGCTAAACACAGCAGCATTTAGTACCCACAACACACTTCAAAGCCCAAAAGGCTATAAGATAGTAAACTGAGACACCTAAAGGCAAGCAACGCGGGTGTGAAGGAGCCAGACGCTGTCTATAAGAGAAAATGCACGACAAGCGGCTGCATCCGGTGTTAAAACTGACTCCCAAACCAGATGGCTGCTGTGCTTTTGGAACTCCAGATTCATGCTATTGTCATTTCTGGAGAACGAATATGAAGAAATAAAAAATAAAAGAAGTTTCAGCTTGTTTTATTAAGTGGTAAAATAACAGAAACTCCACCTTGAGTGTTCTGATCGCAGCAGCTAAGAGATTAACCGGACAGTCTGCTGGAAAACAAAACCTTGTGTGACAAGTGACAAAACAGACGAGAAGCCACAGATGTGTGCCTCTAAATGGTAACTTTCACACATATGTGAATTATAGTGATAGAGTGGAGGAGGAGGGGTGGAAGGCGAGGCTGCGTTTGGGTCAAAAGGCCAAACGTATCGAGGTGGAGAGTCGGCAGCGAGCTTCGAGTTTGCTGAATCTGAACGCGGGGCTTCCTTCCAGCTGTCTCTTCCCACCCTCGCAGCGATGGGCGCCCACAGCTGGCCTCTTGTTTTTCCTTGACAAACTGCAATTTCACAGTCCCCCACCAGTCCGCTGCGTTCACACCGCTCTTCCTGCTCTCTTCTGTGCCAGAACTCCCAGTCTGAGTCCAGCTGCAGTCATGTGACTCTTGTACAGGTGTTTGCTGGAGTTCTCTGTGGGTTTGACACCATTCATGTTGTTTCTCAAGGCGACGAGAAACCACCTGCTCTCATGCAAATGGATTTTTAGACCTACGAGGTCTTAGATTCAACCTTTTGAATGTATTTAGCCATTTTTTTGTAATAATTTGTTTATCTAATTGTGTTTATTTTCTTTAACCAACAGTACCTGCAGATGAAATGGCCTCTCCTGGACGTGCCCAGCTCCGCAGGAATCAAAGACTCCCGTTCTCCAACACCAGGGCATTTAGTAAGTACCCACACCAAACCAAAAGATCCTAAAAACGGGCAAGAAAAAATGTTTAATAATCACTCATGATGACTTTGACATCTGATTTTCACTCTGGGATTTATTCAGTGTGAGAACCAACAAAATAAACCACAAGCTGTTTGACAGAAACAGTTTTATTATTATTTTTTTGAGGAATGATTAAAAAAAGTATCTTTTACAATAAAACTTCAAACACTAATTAACTATCCCACCATTTGTGGCACAAGACATTTCCTCAAGTCACCATTGCACAGAGCATTAACTCAATTATCGAACAAGATCATGCAAACCTATCGGGGGAAATCCATTTACTGAGGAGGATACAAAATGCTTTAATCAAACTATAACCATAATGCGGTTATGTGCAATAATGAAGTTAAAGTCTGCTGGTTTCCCATCGATTCATGTTCAGCTTCCTAGTCAAACCCCTCGCAGCGCTGGCGGGCTGGCTGCCAGGCACTCTGTCTGTCTGTACCACAATAACTCAACAGCCACCATAAATCTCTCAAGTCTGAGCCTCTTCGCCATTCCTGAACTTTCCCACACAGGTGTGAACTAGTCATCGCTGTGCCTCGCTCCAGTCAGACAATGCGGTAACTCAGCAGACCTGTTTGGTTTGCGGCCTCGCTGAAGGACAAGTGTTTTGGATTGAAAATGTGTGACAAGAAGGTGTCTGGAACATCTAGTCGGTGTCTCACCTGTACGATTGTATCTCTGCATTTTCTCTGGTTCAGGAGGTCACAGCTAAAAGTCTCTGTCTGTGCACTTTTAGTGAAAGAGTCGCCCAGCCCCTCGGCCTGTCCCGACTGCATGTGCTTAGCTGAGTTTGTGGTTGATTCGGTGGATCCTACGACTGCAACAAAACGTTCAACAAAGTCCACATTGAGAGCAGTCAATGGGAAATTGTAAAAGGGGGAATGGAGATTGCTCATGGGAATCCAACGCTGATTAATGTCTCAATGCAAACCAATTAGGATATTTTATTAAATTAAATACTGACCTTTTAGTGACCCTTGCACTTTTTTTCTCTGCACAAAGTTTGATGTTTTTGCTTTAAATGAAATATCGAGCATGTAACCAATATTTAGCTAAAAAAGTTAAAGGCCTGGAAATTTGAAAAATCATATTTTGATGATTATTCCTGATTAGCATTGGTCACTCTGAGTTTTTCATGCAGGGTGAACATGAACATGGTCTCCTACACCTATCTGCTGCATTAGCTTCTGACGCTAGGGTTTGAAAAGCCTGACAGATCTACTTCACACTGTCACTGAACGTTCATGGACTCACCAATCTTGACTCATGACAGGGAAGGCTGCTGTTGGTTTAGCATCCAAGAAACAGCAGAGAACGTCTCGACTAGTAGACGCTAACTGTTAGCATTAGCAACTTCACCACACAGCAGAAGTCCTCCAGGGTAGAGTTATTTGTGGAGATAAAAAATCCTTGTTGCAAGTCAGTGGTGGAGTCACGTTGCCGTTATCCAATCCGAGGCCAGATGTCCAAATGTTAGATTATAAGACCCCAAATCCAAGCGCTTGTGGGCTTTTTTGCCCTAAGTAAGGCTTGCAAGGCATTCATTCCAGAAACCACTGCAAATATATTGATAAACAAGGAAGCCACACCTTTAAAATAATAATCATTTTAAAAAAACAGTATTCAGTGTGTTCAGTTTTTAGGGAATGTTTGGCCTTGAATGTTATCGAGGCACACAGTCCAGTAGAAGAAGAAATACTGTAGAGGTCTGAGAATTTGGAAAAAAACTTTTCTCCCAAACCTTCTGCATTAAAGACATCATCTCGACTTAAATCTGCAGGTAAAAACAGAACTGTGTGTGTGTGTAGTGGTCACTTCCTGTTTTAGTGTTGCTGATGCTTCACTGTTTGATATGACTGTCCTCATGTGAGTCTTTCACTGGAGTGTAAAGGGAAGGAAATTTTTCTGAAAGTAACAGTTTCTGGGAATTTATCTACAAAAGGAGGTCACTATTCTTTATGAGCTGACCCGTGTGACCGCAGGGGTCACTTCATGTGGGATGGAAAGCTCTAATTCAGGGTACAGTGTGCACTGGGCACAGAGGATAGGGAGCGAAACACCCCCATGTCCTTACCCCCAACTCTGGGCCAGGTGCCCACATGCCCCTCTGGTGTGCTGCTGCTGACAGCGAGCCAGGATGATTATGTGCTCATTACTCCAGTCGAGGAGAGAGAAGGGGAGTGGGAGGAGAGCAGCAGGCTGGCTCCCCGTGCCTGCAGACTCCCCAGGCCCCAGCGCTGCACTAATGAGAGCAGGGGGAGCGGATGGGCACACACAGGGGGCCGGGGATTACTGCCCAGGGCCAAGAGGAGCCAGGGAGAGAGACCTGAGCAGGAGACGGCAGCAGGGACTCCTCAAGATGACCTGTTCTCCTTCAAGCAAGCATACATAAAATCTGCTATTGAATTTTTGTGAAGCTGGATCACCGAGGTTTGGATTATCTGATGGAGACCTTCTCTGGATGTCTGAAGATCTTTTCTGGAGATTCAGTAATCAGAGTCTGCAGAATAATAATCCTCGATTATCGTGTCAACATGTTCTAATTTAGAGAGAAAATGTAGCCTCACAATCACGTCGATCAATTCAAATATTCTTTATCGCCCGTTAAGAATTTGCGTTTTACCTAATTCCAACATGATGTAAAAAATGGGAATGGGTTCGCTTAGTGGATACAAAAGTCCAGGAGAACACCATCTTGTCACAGCGCAGATTGGGTCCATAAGGCCTGTATGCTAATCTGAGCCGGCTCTGGCCTGAGATGCTCAATTATTCAACAGACAGGTTTGTTTAGCATTCAGTTGGTATTGCTTTTGCTAGCGGTGGTGGGCTAGGAGGACTGGCAAGGTGCATGGAACAAGCTTTTTTATGTGAACACGCCTCATCCTGTCATGCATACACAAGCGTGTGTGTCTACGTATGCACCCTGAAATCCAGAACCCCCCCTCCCCCCACCACCACCACCAAGACCCTGCATATCAGCTCCTGCGTCCAGTGGGCTGCCTCTTCATGAATTATACATCAAAAGGTGCCTCAGGGGCAGGTGATGCAGATTGGGGAACTTGTCAGCCCATCAGTAGTGACCGTACTGGACTGAAGAGGAAAAAAACAGAAGATCCGGTCTAATCCTCTTCTTCTAGTGTACAAAGTCACAGTCATAAACACTCTTGAGGATAATGATGTCAAGGTTGCTTATTTCCTTTTCTGAGGTCATTCAGTCACTTGCAGTAATTTGTCCATCGGTTCTTCTCCATGTCTCATTATGGACTACACTAACTTGTTCCGTTATTCTAGATTAGAGGGAGCTGTGACTCTCTAATGAGACAGAAGTGACCAGAGTGTCTGACGTGGAGCCCCCGGCGCTCAAATTTGGGCCAATCTACGTTTGACAAGGGCGCAAGAATCACAATCTTTGTTTCAATATTGTATCAGCATCCAGACTAACCCAAGCACCGGAGAAGCTGGTCCTGTCAGCGCATCGCAAGTCGCTGAATAGTTTAAAATAACTGAAGTGGCAAAAGTCTAGAGCAGCATTCCAGAGATGCCTTTTGTCTGCATGTTTTTGGTGCTTAGCCGAGCTCTCAGAGTGCACGAAGTTAAATGAAGAGCTGTTCCTTTAATATACTCACTTTTGACCTATTTTCTTTTAACAGACCTTTGACTGGGGGCCTGGTGAGATTTTTCTCATTTTGCATTAGCCAGTGAACACCCGAGATCCATCATGAAATCAAAGGCTTTGGGAGGGCTGAACTGAATACTGATCTAAGGTTGGCGGTCCTGCTGGGCCACTGCAGAGACTAGATCCTCTTCAAATATGTGTTAAGGAAGCAGCGCTTTGATTCCAGTCGAACGGTGTGGTTGAACAGACTCACGCAGTATTGCAGGATGAGTTGATGAGATAGCAACAGTGAAGGCCTTTTTAAGCTTTATTCCATGACTGCTGGGTAGATTCGACCCAGAAACCTGACGCCGCTCTGCGCTGTTATGATTCTAACCTGGAATTATAATGCCTTTGACCTTTTCAGAGGCGATGACCAGACGCAAAGCTCACGTTAACCGTGATGAATGGCACAGCTTTTGGAGGGACAGATTTTTTTTAAAGACACACGACACGGTCAGTCTCCCCTCACGTCCGCTTCCTGTTGGCGTTGACAAACAAGGCTTGGATTTCTCAGCGTGCCGGGCATTCTTTTCACCCTGTCTTTCCTGGAGTTTTGAAAGGCCTCTGAGCCTCCCACCCAGAATCGCCGAGCAGAAAGACACACAAAGCTGCGGGGTTATTCAGTTTGCTCTAAGCTCTCTTCCCCATCGGCTGTTTGCCTAGTAATTCAACTCAGATGTTCAGGATCCAAAAACATGTTTGCTTGAATGAAATCCACCCCCTCCACCCACATTGACCAAGGACTGTGCTTTTCTTAGCTCGGGTCCAAGTTGGACAGTCAAGCTAGGTACTGCCACCGTGTCCCTTTTAGCCTTAAACCCTCAGAAGGCGACGGACATCTGTCCTCGTCTTTCCTCTGCGGTCATCTGCGGAGTTTTCCTGCCTTCTGAACCTTCTTGTGATTGTATCAGACTCCGTCTCAGAGCAGGTCAGAGTGTTACGAGCCAGACAGCCACATCTATGTGCAGATTTCTATCTGCCGGCGTAGATCTAGTGTCCGCTCTGTTACATAGACGTTTATATTTAAAACATGGCTCGTGTTCCTTGTGGTTTTCTGATTACACTTTGCTTGTGGATTGTGAGGCCAGACACATGAAGCTGTAACGGTCTAAAGAGTTATTACTGCTAAACATAAACTCACTCAAAGAGGGCATTGATGCACGCATGTGTGCTTGGAGTTTTTTTTTTTTTAAGAACAATATTTAGAAAACGGCTTTTAAAAAAAGTTCCCAGGCTTCTGGAGAGTCTGATTAATGTGAATTAGGATTAAATTTATGCCATCTGATTGACTTGATGGATTGTAGTGCGGCTCTTTACTTGATGTAGTCCACATCTTTATTCCTGACAGAGAATAGTTTCGCACATCTAGCACCAGCTCAGACTGCTGCACCGAGAGGCAGCCTGGAGTTGAAAGCAGAGCCTTCGAACTTGTGTTTGGAGTGCAGGATTCATGTATTCCAGGATATGAATAATTAATGAGGATCATTTGAAATTCTCACTGAACTGCTTCCCAAAAAATGTGTTGGCACCCAGGTCTAGAGGTCTCAAACAACTCTGACAACATGGGGAAAATTCAGGCGCATTGTACATGAAGTAGAACAACAAAGCACAACTCAAATATACATGACATGTGGGAGCTGGGATTTTAACCCAGTAAGTTAACCCTTTTTCTTCAGTGGACTTTTTTTTAGGTGTTGTAAAGAAATGTTTGCTTTTTCCTTTTAGGCCCAAAGTCTGCAGAGCTCACGGTCTTAATATAGCCGTGTTTAACAGGAGTAAACATTTTCATCTCTGCTTCGTTTGCTAAAGTTTTAAAAGGAGGGGGAAAAAAGTTACTTTGAAAAAAAAACATGCCAAGATTTGGAACAATTCTGAGCAGCGTGAAGCAAAAGAGTTCAGAAGTCTCAATGCAAACCTTGTTCCCCAGCAGACCACGTTGGAGAGACACAGAGGTTGAGAACGGGGTGGGGGAGTGGGGAAGGATATTGAAGAAAGGTTAGCCTGCAGGAACAAGACTCCTTTCTCCCCTCCCACCCCTTGACCCTCCCATGTGACAAGTTGAGCCAACAAGTGGTCTATTCAGCCAGGCAGCCAGGGGAAATGGCTGCTCGGCTGAGCGCTGCCTAATGAAAGTAGAGACGCTTGTTATTATTATTGTCTTCATCATTTCTCGTCGTAGCCGTAACGCCAGACACATCTTGGCACAGACTGGTGCTTTTTCAGCAAAAGAACACACACTGCAGGCAAAGGAGGAGTTTCGTCTCTCACAGCTCAACTCTTATCTGCAGTTCCATACAGAATTTTAAGTGGTTTTCCAACAGTGCTAACATTTAGGACCCCCTCATGATGGAAGATGAAGTCTCCGTGTGTTTATGGGCTTTCCAGTTTACCTTACCCTGATTGGGTTTGTTTGTGGCTCGCTGGTGCAACATTTGGACTTGGTGGCACCGTTGTTTTTCTTCTTGGACTGAACAAACAGTTCTCTCCTCCACTCAATGCCTGTAATGATCTTGGCATGTGTCTGGCGGGTTTTGCGCTCCCTGGTACTGGTTCAGATTGCATCTCAGGGTCAGTCACTCGCACCAGCTGTGATGTTTACTACAGAGGACATTAAAAGGTTTCTTTTCATTGTTGTGAAGTGCATTATTATTTTAGAACAGAGCTGGATGTAAAAGGAAATTCATCAATTAGGACACTTTTCCCTCATCTACATGCCTGTGTGTTCTCTTTTTAGTCCAATAAAGTCCCGGTGGTACAGCACGCCCATCATGTCCACCCGCTGACGCCCCTCATCACCTACAGCAACGAACACTTCTCCCCTGGCACGCCGCCATCACACCTCTCACCAGAGATCCTCGATCCAAAGACAGGTAGACGGTCACTAACTAAACCAGCCTCTAATGGTGAAAGGTGGCAGTAAAACTCTAGTTGTGCATTTATTTCAGCTCTGCATGTAAACGTAGTCGCTTCCCCTTAGCAGTTTGGATCAAACATGTTTGGAATGAACTGTGCAAGTTGCTTTTGTCATGAATTAAAACAGCTTGAAAAGTGGCCTTAATTTAAATCATCTCACTTCACCCCAAAAATGTAACAAACTATTTACCGCTATATTTAGCTCTACACTGAAGATGACAAACATCTCAGGAAATGTAGCATATTGCTTTAAATAAGTATAATGCTGTCAGTTCAGCAGGTGTTTACGGTTTCGTCTTCTTCTCCCGGTGTGCTGCCTTCAGGTATTCCTCGAACGCCTCATCCGTCAGAACTCTCTCCATACTACTCGCTGTCTCCAGGTGCCGTTGGTTCGATTGCACATCCTCTGAGCTGGTTCATGCAACAGTAAGCACTTTATATCTTAAACATATCTTTAATAGCATGCAAAATTAAATATTCTGACAACTTTCTAACAATTTTGTTTTTAAAAATATATTCCAAGAATAAAATGCTATAAAAGTTTAGCCTTTTTAGGAATTATGCATAATTTTTTTAGAAATCTGAAAAGGTGATCGTCCTAGCTTGCATTATGGTGTAATGTAAGCAGTACAACCGTTATTTTTGTGCTAAACCTGCTCCTCATCCCGTAGGGTCTCGTGCAATTTGAATGAAGCGCTGCTCAGCATTAGCCAATAGCGGTAGACATCTGCTTTCGTACAGATGTCAGTTAAATAGTGTGCACGTACGTTTGAGTAAACAGCATAACGTGAGAATAATTATTGGAAAATGACGCGTTTTTGCTCTTTTGGCTGATGTGCATGTTCACAAATGAGAGGAGTAGCTCCCAGTCGCAACGGAAGTAGGGAGAGAGGCTTAGGGTGCAGGACATTTTTTCTGTCTCTCTGAGAAAACACTCCTGATTTCTTCTTTACTTTAGGACGCAGGTGAAAAACACCTTTCAGGATCTTGATCCATGTTTGCTTTATAGGTATGGGGAGCCTAAGTCTCCTCCATGTCCGGTTGGCTCATGGGTCGAGAACGGAAAAATGAATGCATGTCAACGGGGCTAATAGAGCTATTTTCTAATCCGCTTTGCCTTACACCCTGGGTCACACTTATGTTGTACTGCAATTTAAATGAAAACTGATGATGGGTGTTTCGACCACGCCAGTCACGTACTTTGAGATTTATCAGCTTGTAAAAGTTTGTAATTAGCATGACCACACACCAGAAATCGGCACGTCGCATATGTGACGTCACCACATAATCTCCTCTCCCCTAGCGTAGCTGCTACTCACCACATGACCAGATTTATGGTGGTTCTTTCCTCCTTTGGGAAGTTTGCTGAACTTACAGCCATTTTCCCTCAGTTTTCTCGTGTCTGGTTTGATGACTTCACTTTCGTGAAGCGCATTTGTAGTCCTGGACTTATTTTTACACAAAACCTAAAATAGAGTTTCCCCCCGTTTGAAAATAAGTGTGTTCTCTGTATCAAAATGTGTCTTTGAAATTCACGAGTATCACATGTGAAATCCATGGAACATAATAAACGGAATTAGAAAATAGCGTTTTTAGCCCCTTTGACTTCCATTCATTTTTTCGTTCTTGCGGGGACCCTCGGCCCGGAAGTAGATGGCGTGACAGATATTATAGATGCTAGATGTAGACATATATGTCGATGGGTACAACTCTAGCAAGGATGCGCCATCAATTTATCAGAATCAGCCAATATTCAGCATTAGTGGTTTAACTGGTCCAGTTGAAACTCAAAAATCTGATATTTTTATTTTCAGTTTGTGAATGCATCACTACCAGGCAGCAATTATGAGGTTTCCAATCCCATCAGCTCATCATCTGGAAACGCAAATTCACGCTAGCAGTAGCAGATGTGAAAGATTTAATTTGAGAATCAAAATTTCCAAGTACAGAGAAGAAAAGATTTTCTTCCTCTTAGTTGTTTGAAATTAATCAAAAATGGCTCAAATGTGTGTCAGCAGATCAGAGCTATACAAGAATCTGAAATCAGTATCGGCCCTCAAAGCCCAAACTGGTGTGTCTTTTTAATTTGGTGCCCCGAAGCATGAAGAGGAATGAAAACAGGACTGCCATTTGTCTTGCGAGCCGTGTGTAAGTTCAGGTGCACCGTATCATATCGATAGTAAGTTAAAACATCTGAGTTTACCAGGTGGAGTTTCAAAACATTTATGGGTTTTTCTCTGGGTCCGCTAATCAATTGCAACGGTTTTGCTCCACAAGCAGGGGATTTGAGTTGATGAGAGGAGGATTAGTGCTGCTGGGTTAGCTGTCAGCTGGGTTTGATCCACCTCACACTGGAGCTTTCGCTCACTCCCAGTCTGCCTCTGTCTCCCAGGCAGGGCCAGCCCATGTACTCCATCCCTCCGGGGGGATTTCGTCACCCCTATCCAGCACTGGCGATGAATGCATCCATGTCCAGGTGAGTGGATCGTGTTCGGCAACACGACCACCTTCCCAAGAGGGAGGGTTAGGGGGACAACTTGATACGTGCTGCTTCTGTGACACGCCGTAATCACATTTAGCCTGCGTTCTTTGCCAGACAGTAAATGGCTGAAGTTAAGTCTTAAATTCTTATAGTTCACACTTTCTAACAATCTGAGAACAGTCTAAAGAGAGGCAAAAATTCTGGATTCAAAACTTCTTCAGCTGGGACAGAGCGTCGTTGCAACAGGAGCAGATTTAGGTGTCGGGACTACAAAAGAGATGAGAGCTCTGAGAGAGGTGAGCTTGGTTTCTTAAAAAGAGCGAACAAGTTATTGGCATTCAGAACTCCTCTCCAGCCTTTTTTCCTACGGAGCTAAACTTCTTTGGTCAGGCTGGTGTTCTGAGCCACTCCACAACACACACGCACACACACACACTCACAAAGCAGAGATGAAAGGGCTACGAATCGATTAGGACAAATCAAAGCTTATCTGAACCCACATGTCCCATCAGACTAAACTCTCTAGCCGTCTGTCAAAATTGGAAAGATTTGTAACGAGGCTTCCGGTGTTCGTGTGAGATGAAATATTCAGAAGGCTTGCTGTGATCAATAGCTTGTGCAGCTCCATCCTGATATAACAACAATATCAAGGTTCTTGGTTACTTTTAGCTCTGCAATCCAACATTTAATTCAACGTAAATGATTAGTAATGACTTAAAATAGGTTTTTGTAGCACTATGTGAACGTAAAAAGGGTTTTTGGCTCTTTTTTTCATTTTACTACAGAATAAGATGTTAGTTTGAGGCAGGAAATAAATATGAGAGTATAATGTTTTACCCCTACTGTACACAGGAAGTATCAGTGGTGCGGAACAGCAGCAGAAAGGTTTACTTGCGACAATCGCTGCACTCCAGAGCACACCAGGAGTCCGCTGTGCTCCTCGCTCGACTCACGAGATCAAATAATCCCTCAAGTTTATGCTGTCCGCCATTAAACCAAAATGAAGAAAATCACATTTGATATTGCTTTTTGATGTCATATATCTGTCATATATATGATGTTGTTCTTCTCTACTTCCAGCATTAAAGCCATGAAAACACACCGTTAAACTTCTGGAACAATGCAGGGAGTAAATGAGCCGTTAGGTCACTTGTGATGACTTAATCTACATAGATATGAAATTGCATCGCTGCAATAGACTTTTATTTTGAAAATCACCAGGTGTGTGATTTCCTGTCGAGCTGTAAGTTAACTGTGAATATCGGCGCATCCCAGAAGCTGCTCGTGGCAAAAATAGAACCTGATCCTATCATTAGCGGCGCACCGCTTCCGGGACACACCTGAAAATTGCTGCATCACGGCTGATTTGAATCATCCCATAGACTCTAATGAAATCTGTTTGAAGCGGTGACGTTCTTCGGCCGTTCTGCTCTGCTGATGCTTCCAGAGTGCAGCAGGCTTTAGTGAAAGCTAGAGAAAAAGTGCGTTTTTAAAGGAAAGTAACGCGGTATCAAAAAGATGCTCTCTCGATGCCGACACGTAGAGGTCCGGGCCAGCCGATGTGGTGCCCGTTTTTGGGGCTCTGAATTTAACCGAATGTTGAATCTTAACTCAGCATTAAATTAAATATTTAGCCAAAGTTATTCAAAGAAATCAATAAACTGCCAGGTATAAAATACAAATAACAGGTAAATAAACAGAAATGTCAGGTGGTAAAAATGTTTTAGAGCATTTATTTAAAAAAGTTTTCAGGAAGATAAATATACCTCAAAATAAAATCCGGCAGCGGCACTGGGCTGCCCGTGGTTGTGCCTGACTTACTAAAGAGCAACATCAGTAAATGCGTTATGTAAAAATAGGTCAATATAGACCCGATAAATCATCTGACCAATATATCATCTGACCGCTACACCCGTCTATCCCTAGCAACAACTTCTTTAGCCAGAGTTTATTATTAGATTAGCAGTTATTAAAAATAGAAAATCAGAGACAGAAATAAATCATGAGTGAAATTCTGATTTCTATTATGTTTGTACTGTATATGCATTTGCTAACGTATGGGCCAGAAAACGAACATGACGAGAAATTTAAACAGCTTTTTTTGTAACCTGGACTTGGTTTTAAACAGTTAAACCTCTTTCCCGTCATGCATTTGAATTAAGCTGCTCCTTTATTAGTGGCTTTTATGATAGAGCAGGTTCAGTGTTTAGTGACGGCGTGGCGTGTTGAAACCGTTGGACAAAACGAACTTTTCTAGTCAACATTAACTGGAGCGTGTGATACGGCGGCTTGCAGATTAATTTCCTCTTTTGTCCGCCACAATACGTCTTTGCTTTAACAATCAGCGAGACACTTTGTACAAGAAAAAGGTGTTCTGTGTGGAAAGCCGTCAGAGCGCTCGCCGTGGTCTGGAAGGTGGTAAGGAGAAAGGTTTCGGGTGTCACAGCCATGCTGTCACCATGGTAACACCACACTCCACTTTTCTTCAGCCGCTGGCGAATAAAGGGGGCTTTTCAAAAAGTCTTTATTTGAACAAAAAAAAAAAAAGCATGGTACACATTGTGTGTATGAATTTAGTCTAGACAGAGGCAGTAGGTGCTGTGAATTTACCCAGAAGGCTAAAGCGTTGGAATACTGAGCTAAATCTTTTCTTGACAGGTTGACAGAGGATCACTGTTTCTAACCCTGACTGTTAAAATGTTTCCCCTCTTTTCCCTCCCAGCTTGGTGTCCAGCCGTTTCTCCCCTCACATGGTGACTCCTCCTCCACACAGCCTCCACCAGACCGGAATCCCGCATCCCGCCATCGTTTCGCCCGCCATCAAGCAAGAACCCGGCGGCGACAACATCAGCCCCTCCATGCATGCGTAAGGACAAATTAAACGCTCTCGAAACTCGCCTCTCGTTTCCCCTCCCTCGCCACGTTTATCGACAGAAATCTCTATTGTTTCGGATTAGCAGGAAGTCCCCCGTTCCTGCCAAGAAGGAGGAGGACAAGAAGCCTCACATCAAGAAGCCTCTCAACGCTTTCATGCTTTATATGAAGGAGATGAGAGCCAAGGTGGTTGCAGAGTGCACTCTGAAAGAGAGCGCAGCAATTAACCAGATCCTGGGAAGACGGGTAAGAAGCACTAACTCAGACGGACACGTGAGTTTGCAAAAGTATACGTGTGTGTGTGTGTTTAACCGTTCTTTGACCACAGTGGCATTCGCTGTCGAGAGAGGAGCAAGCCAAATACTACGAGCTGGCCAGAAAAGAAAGGCAACTGCACTCCCAGCTCTACCCTGGATGGTCAGCACGAGACAACTACGTGAGTTCTGCTGCAGCCTCATTCCTCTTAGCGTCAGTCACATATGACTGCAGGGAGTAAATATAGCAACTGCACTTTTGATCTTGTGAAGCGAAGTCGTTGAGGTGGCTTTACTTCCGCTACGAACAACAGTTTTTAACAGCATTGTTGTATCTGTGCAGGGAAAGCGGAAAAAGAGGAAGAGAGAGAATAAACCAGACTCAAAACCAGAGGGTAAGAGGCCTTGCTCTTCCTGACTGCCTTCATTTATTTGTTTCTCTTTTGTCTCAACAATTGAGAGGAAAGAAAACCGAAGAGCCAGCCCTTTATTTGTCTTGCGAGGCTCGTGTTTAACCTAAAACTGCCCATTTCTTTCCCTTTTGTTTAGCGCTTACTAACCTTTTCCCTGCTTTTACACTCTCAAGCAGCTTATGAGGTTCAGTGCTCGTAGTTGCAGGTATGTTTGCAGTGCTGGAACTGTCCATGGCCACTCTTCCGTGAACATTTCAACATGCATTCTGTATCTCGTTCCTTCTCTGACTCACATATGCCGTAACATCCTGTTTCTACTCTCCTCATTGTGATGTGCTGACCAGTTGATATGAGAAATGTCACGTTTGAAATACTTTCACATCTCACTCATACACTTCCATCAGCTGCAGCCTTGTGGGACTTCAACCAGATGTGAATCCAGCTGCAGATTTAGCCTTAATTTATTTATTTTTTCCCCCAGACTTCTCCGTCAGAACCAAGAAGCAGTGTGTGCAGTACCTGCCGTCGGAGAAGATGTGTGACAGCCCTGCGTCGTCTCACGGGAGCATGCTGGACTCACCGGCCACCCCCTCTGCTGCCCTGGCCTCCCCCGCTGCTCCTGCTGCCACTCACTCTGAGCAGGCCCAGCCGCTCTCGCTCACCACTAAACCAGAGGGACGCATGCATCACCACTTCTCCTTACTTGGGAAGGCCTCTGAATCTTCTTCTTCTTCTTCCTCATCCTCATCCTCCTCCCAACCCTCCATCTCCATCCCTATTGGTACTACAGGTAGCCAGTCGAACACACCCATCCTCACCCGGCCAATCCCCTTCACCTCTCTGCACCCCTCCATCCTCTCCCCGCCGTCCCCCTTCCATCAGGCTGCCCTGCACTCCCATCATTCCTTGTTCCAGTCGCAGCCCCTCTCCCTGGTCACCAAACCAACCGAATAAATCTGAAATGGCCATTTCTCTCTCATTTATTGTGCTGTATATTGCTTTTCTTAAAAAATAGGTATTAGAACAACTTTTTTTCTAAGTAACGAAAAGGAGGAAATATTATTGGTCAATATTTGACTTGCCTCCTTTTCTACACCTCTCAATGAAATACGAAGTGTATTTTTTTGTAAAGTTTACTGCAGGACTGGGTTCTTTTTGATGCATTTATCCAATGAACCTCATGTATAAAAGAACCAATGTACATAAAGTTTCTTTATGAAAGAAAAAACAAACAAAAAAAAATGTCTTTTTAGCCAAAACCTAATTAATGTTAGTATGAAGTTTAAGTCCTAGTCCCTGCCAATAATTGCAACCCCCAGTTTTTTCAGTTCATGCGTGTGTGCCCCTTCTATGACATGTCAAATAAATATTTGAAATTGTTTCCTAAAGGAAGTCTCTGTCTGTCTCGTTGAATTTTGTTTATTGATTTTTGCCAGCTTGGGTAGAAATGTCATTGTTTATTTAAGGTCCACACCAATAACAATCGCTTTTCTTTCTTTAAATTCTTTATTAATTTGAGATTAAAAGGGTTTTGATGTACTTTAAGGAGATTGTTATATTATTAAAGGTGCATTATGTAAGAAGGAAGAAAGAAGGACATCCTGTGGTCAGATATGGATACTGCAGCTCATTTTGTAAACAACACAAGTGACTTTTTCTCTCCCATTCCATGAGTTTCTTGCTGTTGCTAGCTACGGATCAGCGCCAGAACATTCTAGATGACAAGTGAAGAAGACAAGTTGATAAGTCGACAAATACATTTCACTGTAATATCGAGTTGTTGGTAACTGAAAAAGTAGCTTGAGATATTTTTAAAAGCCAACGATTTGTTTCAGATTTACGGTTAGCATTGTTAGCTCAACGTTAGCCTCTAGCCCTCTTTACCCGATATTACAGTAAAAAAAAAAAGATGCCGTGATTTCTGAGTGTTACAATAACTAACTTCTGGGTCGCTCCTGTTTCTAGCTTAGGATCTTTACAAAACACTGCTGCGTTAGCTTGTCAGTGTCAAGTTACAGATGCCGGCGCTACAGCACCAACTTGGCGCAGACTCTGCAACAAGGCATTTCACCAAGACTGTGATGGACAGACAACTTTAGGAGCAGCTTGTCAAAATCACGTAAGGAGCGAGGCTTCAATCACAAAAAATAAAAAGTTATGTACAAGCTAAAGGGATGTCCGTGACAGAGCAGAGACCTCCCCTTTTATATCGCAATGGTGTAATCTTTTGTGAAAAGCATATGATCATTACCGCCGGCTGTGAATCGGTTTCAACGTAACCTTCCTTCCAAAATAACTGAGACATCAGACTGTTTTGTGATTACTTCACTGTAAACATCTTACTTATTGTACCTTTAAAAATGATTTAACGATAACATTTATTTTGGCTTCATTTAAGGCCCCGATGTGCACATATTATGACCAGAACGCCAAAGTTGACTCATCAAACTGTAGAATTTGATTCCAGTCACACTGAGACACATGCACACATTTCTTCTCTTGTATTTTACATGAGTATTGTACTTTAGCTCTAAATAGAGAACCTGCTCATAAAAACCCTGCTGATGGTGGCGTGGACTTTTAAAGTTTAATAAAGCAGAATTAGGCTAACCGCACTGGAAAATGAGCACTAGAACCAGGGTAACAAAATTCCAAGCCCAGAATAAATAAAAATGGAGACATCTGCTCCATCTTGGTGTAAAGCATCTCATAACAATGACAAAACAAAAAAAGCGGGTCACAACGACATTCACTCTGGTTCCCGATCCCTTCCTGCACTTTTAACTGCATCTTTATTCACCGTTTGGCACGCTGCACCAGCTTTAATGAACTCAGAGGTAATGGGATGGAACTCCTGGGACCTCATTAGGCATTTCAATTAGAGAAAAATACACAAGGTAGGTTACAGTTTTTGGTGGCTTGATGATGACGGGAAGTGCCAGGGAGGGATGGACCAATTATGGCTGAGCGGAGGTGAACTGGCCCGGACGAGTCCACTGACACCACTATCACTGTTTACAGGTTTAACTGAGATCTCACTGGCAGGAAGGCACACAGCGCTGAAACTTACCCTCAACACACTTTCTTTTGATTGTACATTACATAAACCTTTGGCAGCTAATCTTGATTAATCCAGTCAGATCAAAATGTAATAAAGTCATTATTTATCACTCATTTACTGTTAATAGTTTGTGACACCAACTGTGACAATCTAAACTTCGTTCTCACAGAGCTGCAGAGAGGTGGGCTGTGGGTGTGATACTGTGTTGGGCCCCCCTGACATGGGCACCAAACTGTCACGTCTGCCCTGCTCTGCTTAAAACCATCATTAGCTATAATAAGTCTGTGCTTGTTTGCCATTCTGTTGTACATTATTCCAGACACATGCCACACAATCAGCAGTGCCACAACGGCCCGCTCAGAGCCACACCATCGGTCCGTCACTGAAATTACAAGTAATGAGTTGTCAGAGCAGTCAGCGAATCTGTCTCCTCAAGCCAACCCATTCAGTAAAATGTCCAATTCTCCCAGCTCAAACCCCAAAACTGCACCTTTGTTAAAAAAAAAACTATCTAAATATGAGTCTCACTATATGGTGAGTAGAGTTGCTTATTTGTGCAAAACTGAAGTAAAATGTTGTGTTTTAGGTCCGATGAGCTCCCCTCAGAGTCGTTATCTCTCATGTGCGGATGCTGCTGCACTCAACATCTGCCATGTAAGCACGAGGTCAGATTTAATACATGTTAATTTTTGCTCATTAAATTCTTCCAATCTCTTGCCAGGATTGTTTTCTAGGCCTTCCTTTGATCTTGAAATTATTCCAGGTTAACTATTTCATTTCACACGTGTAATATTGTGCAGAGAAACACACACATTAAGTACAGGTGTGTTTATGTTGCTCTCTTTAGATCAACAACCTCATGAATGTAATCAGAAAAGGCTGATCTTATTCCTGCTATTGACTGCGTGACCTTATGGTCCCCGCTAATAACAGGATGCTGTGAGAGCGTCACATGTGGTTTCCTGAAGTGATATTAATTGATTGTTGCTGTAACATTCCCCGAGCCGAGCAGGACTCAGCTGGTGCCTTTGTGCAGACAGGTAAGGCCGGCTGTGAGCTTAAGAACCTCCTTCATGTTTTATTCACACCTGTTTGACCTTAAAGATGGAAATGCAAATGGGTGTCAAGAATGAGAGGGATCATTGGACTTTTCAAATGTCAACTAGCCTGTCACAATTAAAACACATTCATTACAACAAGCTGCAGGTCTCCAGCACCCAGCTGGGATGTAAAACACCTTCAATTAACATTTATATCATTATCTCATCTGTAAAGCCACTGCACACCTTCTGTGGTAAGGTCTGAACCATCGCTACGTTCTCAGACCTAATAAACCAGTTTTCTTAAAATAAGTGGATTTTTATTGTTCTTCTTGTATAGTTCACATAATAATAATAATAATAATAATAATAATAATAATTTGCTGTGTATATCAATACTGCCATCTGCTGATAAACTAATATACTGACAGACTATCATCATTAAACCTCTCTCTGGGATATTTGAAGAAATTCTTCTAAATTTCTGTAGAATTGTTTTGTAAAATAAAAAAGCATATCAACCAGTTAGTGATTCTATATTAGCTAATGTATTTATTTATTTATTTATTTTTACACCTGTATTTTTATTTATTTGTGAAAATGTTACTGTAATTATATTAATACATTAACATAAAACTGTTTAACTTTTTTAAATATTAATTTTCATCTAAGGAAACACAAAACACATATTTAAATCTATTTTTATACCAAAGTCCTTTAATTCTCATAAAACAGAATTTCATACATTTTAACAAAGGTATTGCAGTTGCAGTGAAACTTTTAATAAAATTTATTGATTGTGCTTTTCCAATTCATTTCAAGACTCTTATTAACAGAAGCAAATCAGACAAAAGCAAGCAAGCAAACAAACAAACAAAAAGTTAAAAAAGAAAGAATGGTTATCAGGATCACAGAACATAAATAATAATAAATTATCATTATTTATTAACACTAATATTTTGGTTATACAACAAACCAAAATGAAATGTGTATTTTTTTATTTAAAGAAAGAAAATCAAACCTGTTTCAAATACAAGTTGTATTGACAGAGTTTTAGTTAAGCGGGACATTAATACTGCTGAAATGGGATTTTAACCTGCTTAATAATATAAATCGACAACTTTGATTATTAAAAAAATCAACATGAATGAACAAAGCAAGATCACTAAGAGAACCTGTATTATGGGCCATTCCCATCTGTACCGGGTCGGCCCGGGCCGGGTAGCGTAGGTTGTTTTTACATATCTGGGTGGCCTGGTGTTTTTCCGGGCCAACCAAGGCTCATTCTCAGCCCTCTTCTCGAGGGGGTCTGCTTCAGGCCGACCAGGGCCAATAGAGCTCCGGACCCCACGTGACTCTCAGTTAGTGGACGCCATTTTGGCATGCAAAAAAGGTAAACAAACACGGATGTAAGCATGAACATGAACGGGATCCGCTTGGATTTTACTTCGTCGGAGTTTACTTCACACTTTAAAACAGAAGAAATCGTTTTATATAGTCAGAAATTAAATAGACTAAACATCTCCGACCCTTACCGTGCCCCTGGGATACTTTTTAAAAACGCCAGAAGTCGTAGCGGACTTCTTACCGGCACAACACCGGACCTGGCCGGGGAAACCCCTTGGGATTCCCCCGGCCGGAGGAGCTGGGGAGAAGGTCTGGGACTCTCGACTCTACTGCCCGCTCCGACGCCAGAAGCTGTCGGAGCGGACCGGCACAGCACCGGACCTGACCGGGGAACCCCTTGGGATTTACCCGGAGGAGCTGGCTCCGGGGGCTGGGGAGAGGGAAGTCACGCTACTGCCCCAGCAACCCGACTCCGGATACGCGGATGAAAATGGATGGATGGACGGACAAATAACAGATTTACATGTAAGTAGTCTCGGTGAGACAGATAATAGCAATCCAAAGTGCTTTTTATGTGTGATCTGATCAACCATTGCTTAAAAATTAAATACAGCTTAGCCGGTTAATTGCTGTCATCATAAAACACGTAAACGGCAGCACGCAGAACTCACGAGGCAACGTTTTACGTGATGTTTACTTGCTGCTATGAGTAATAAGACAGAAAAAGCCACGCCAAAATAAGTTTAGGAAGCCCACTAAGAATCATAATAAAAGCATTTAAAATAAATACCATACACAGTTGAGGAAATGTTGGTTTAAGTACCTGATATGAAGTGGTCGCTGCATAAGTGAAAACCTTTACTCTCAGGGTGCCACAGTTTCATTTTCGCCCGGTCACTAGCGCGTTTCATTACAATGATCCAACGTTTGCGGCGCTCCGGATCTTGGGGAATCCTGTAGATGGCTCATTCCTTATGTCGTCCGCGTCTGTTCTGCATCCTGGGGCACAACAGGAATCTACCATATTTCCCGTTTGATTGAGTTTTCTGACAATAGTAAATAGTCCAGCTGCCGGCTTCTGCATGCCAATATGGCGCCGTTTCGATTTGAACTGTTGCATGCCGGGAGAAGTGACGTCAACTCCCGGAGCTCTATACACCCACTGCTGACAGCAAATTCACACCTTCCATTAGAGCAAGCCTCTGATTGGTGGGTAGAATCAGCCCACATGGACTTAAGGCAAGGATGTGTGGAATCAACCGGGCCAGGCTGGGGCCGACTGGGGCTACCCGGCCCGGGCCGACCCGGTACAGATGGGAATGGCCCATTAGTTAAATAATAAGTAAATAAATGTTTCAAATGTTTACAGCAGTGAGATTAAAAATCATTCATTTTGGAGTTACAAAGGAAGCAAATTTCCCTAAATTGCATTAAAGTAAATAAAACAGGGAGACAAAACAGTAATAAGTTACTCCATCAGGAACAACAAAAACTCTCTAGGACAATATGGAAGTCTGAAAGTGGATCAAAAATATTATAAAAACAGTTTACTTTAACTGTAAAACTATTATTATCAATATATAATTTATATTTCTTTATGAGTTAAATAAATGAAAAAGTTGCCTTTTCTTCGTTGTAATTGACGGAGTAAGCCACTAGAGATCAGAAGACTCAACTTCCGTGTTTGTGTTTTAAACAGCAGAAGAAGAAATGTGATTTGTACACGGAAGTGAAACAGGATCCAACCTGTCCAACTGCATTTGTCAACGCGGATTGAGTCGAGAGGAGCATCAGATCAGATTAGATTAGATTAAGGCATATTCGATGTGGATTTTTCCGGTTGGTGGACACAATGAAAACGACTTTTCTCCTGCTTCTGTTCTGCTGTTTGGGTGCAGGTAAGAGCGGTTAGTTTAATCTCGTTTTAGCCTTTTATTAAAAATGAATCTGTCGTGTTCTGAACCCACAGCGTCATTTCGCTGTTTCTATATTACTTAAGCCTTTCAAGATGAAAAATACAATGTGTACATGTTTGATGCAGCCAAAGTTCACCATAAGTGTTACATTTAAACTTGATTTTGCTCCGGTCACCTTTAGACCACAAAGGGGAAGCTGAGGGTTGCCTCAGCAGCGTATCCACCTTTAATAAATAGGGATCTGTCCTAAAACAAACAGCCTGTAGGTTAGAGCTTGGTGACATTTATTGATCAGACGACATTTTCAAAGTAAACACAACACGATGAGTTAATGTTCAGACTGTATTTCAAATAAATATTAACAAACAACTTATAACAAACCATTTTAAAACAAAATAACCCTCAGATAATAAAGACAGTTTCTCTTTTGGATTGATGCCACACGTCAGTTGGATCATAAAAGAAGCTGCAGGCAGATAACAGACCTGGAGGAAATGCTTTTATCAAATCTGCCATCATTACATACATTATTCTCTAGTGATGCACCGATATGGTAAAATGGTAAATGGCCTGTATTTGATATAGCGCCTTCTAGAGTCCTGGAACCCCCCAAGGCGCTTTACAACACAATCAGTCATTCACCCATTCACACACACATTCACACACTGGTGGGGATGAGCTACAATGTAGCCACAGCTGCCCTGGGGCGCACTGACAGAGGCGAGGCTGCCGAGCACTGGCGCCACCGGTCCCTCCGACCACCACCAGCAGGCAAGGTGGGTTAAGTGTCTTGCCCAAGGACACAACGACAGCGACAGACTGAGCGGGACTCGAACCTGCAACCTTCCGATTACGGGGCGAGCACTTAACTCCTGTGCCACTTACTGTGTATGAAATATTTGGGCCGATACTGTTATTAAAATCACTGTTATGGCCGATAACCGATATTTGCGATACAGATATACTGACATTATTGCTTCTAAAATCAGCAGATTTTGAATAGAATGAAAATTATTACGTCATTATGTATACACACACACACACACACAACACACACATTTACAGTTCTGAGATAATTTCATTCACTGTTCACATGACTAAACAATTACACCCCCCCCCCCCCCCCCCCCCCCCCGGAAACAGGCAAACAAATGGAGACGAGATGGAAAAAATATCGATTGTCAATATTGGCCCGGTTTTATTTATCGGACCGATACTGATATGTTAAAAAATGACTACATCGGCCGATACCGATATTGATGCTGATATATTGTCCATCCGTATTATTCTCTGATGCAGGCGTTTCCTGGTCGTTGTTTTTTCCACACAGTGAAAACATCCTGAATAACAACAAAGTGCACTCAGAAATATCATTTGATTAATCATTCACACACAGGTCAGATCAGTAAATGTGTGATAAAAATGTGTCCTTAATGTAAAGAAGATCAGATCAATGTTGGCATTTAAAAGAGTAATGGATCAAAACGAGACTTGAGTAAATGGTCGCTTTATTAATCTACATTATTCTATTAAGATTCTGAATTTGCTCAGTGGAATTTTGCTTCATTCATTATTTTGTTACTTTTCCAATTCACAGTGAATTCTGCAGGAAACAAGGATGTAGCCGCTCCAGCAAACCTTGACTCATCGGTTCCTAAAGGAGCTCAAACAAATGATCAGCCAACTCCTGACAGTACTGAATCCCTCAACGAAGCAAATGAACAATCTTCAGAGAAAGATAATAGTACCACTAGCCAGGGTAAGGATGAACCACCAGCTGAGAAAGTAGGTAACCAAACAAATCATGGAACTCCTAATAAGGAACAAGAAGAAGATGGCTCAAATAACAAAGAGAGAGACGGCAAAGAAGATCCAGAAGAGCCTCAAACCTCCACAAAAAAGGCTACAGAGAACCCCCCGCAAGACACTGAGACAAAAGATGGTGCAAATTCTGGTGCTGGGAAGGATAGTCTAAACAATAACGAAGAAGAGGATGAAGCTAAAAAGAACAGCAATCAGCAAGAGCCAGAATCTGAACAAGTAACAAAAGAGGATATGGAGGGAAATGCAGAGGAGATAACAGACACTAAAGGCGACGACGACACAAACGGAGCTGAAACCAAAAAAGAAGACGGTGAAGAAAGGAATGTGTTTGACAATCAAGAGAGCAGCCATTTCTTTGCCTACCTGGTCTCTGCAGCCGTGTTTGTGGCTGTGCTTTACATCGCTTTCCACAACAAGCGCAAGGTATCCGTCATTCAGCGTCCACTCACTGATCGTTTTTGTGCTTTTGGTCAGTGCTATTATGCTGCGATAAAAGCAAATTTTACAAAAATACTGTAACAGTAAAGCATCTGTTCAGTCTGATTTCTGTTACAGAAGATTCAAACACTCACTAAAATCTTACCATGAAAACCGAAAACACCGCCCTGAGGCTCAGGCTAAAACAGCTTTAAGCTGAAACTTGGGCGTGTTTGTTTTTCACATCCGGCTTTTGACACCCGGACTAAACCAACTGAAACAATCTTTTTCTTTCTGCACTTCCAGATTATTGCCTTTGCTTTAGAAGGGAAGAAATCCAGATCGGCGCGGAGACCTAAAAGCTCAGATTACCAAATGCTGCAGCAAAATGTAAGCTCTTCTTTTTGATGCGATGACTTTGCGTAGTGTCTTAAAATGTTTTAACTTTGTATTTCCTTTATTTTCCAGTGACAGAGCAAGGTTTCCAGCCCGGAAACACAGAAGACGGATGGAGGCGTAAACATGAAACTCTCCTCCTGTTTAAAAGACATTTTTCTCTTATTTTGGATGTTTATTGCATGACTATGCAGATGACACTGTTGCCTTATTGGAGTGTAAAGATGTAAATGAGCATGCGGTATTTTTGCACTAATGTTATTCCACTTTTTAGGTCATCTGGCCCAATTTGGTCCCAGCTCAGGATATTCCAGTAGCAAATTAGCTGTTTTGTGGCACATTAGTGACATCAGAGTGCATCATGTTTTTACGTCGTTCATGTATTTTGATATGAAACATGAAACTGCCTGTTCTGTAACAGGTGGAATCCAATCAGTCTGGTCGTAATACCAGTTAATCCTGTTGTGATTCATAACTTGCACCAACTAATGGGCCTGAGACATTAGTCTGAAACGTCGATCGCTGTAACTAGAACTCTAACGAGCTTTGGCTGTAGGTGGAGTGTCAGGGAAGATGGCTCTCTGGGATGGCCACTGACACTTCAGCTCTCATTTCTCATGAGTTTTTATTTGCATCCAGAAAAATGTATGATGTGCCCAATGGCAAAAGGAAATAGTGATTTAATGTGTGGTTATTGTGTTCATTGCTGTCTGTTTGTAGCAGATGCAGGGGCTTTGAGGATTCTGTTAAAATCACTTTATTACTTCTTGGTAGGAGAAAATCCCAATCATGCTGTGAAATATCTTTTTTTTTTTAAATAAATCTGCAATGAAAACCATGAAATTCTTATTTTACCTTTTCTTTTGTCAGCAGAATAGGACCAGTAGCATCCATATAAAATAAACTTATTTAAAATCTAAACAAGTGGTTATGCTAGAATTAAAGCATTTAAAGTGATCTGTTTAACGGCTGTTAAGGTTTGATGTGATGGTTTGAATTTAGATTTAAAACAATGAAGAAATACTGCAAAATAGGGGCCCATTAGGGTGTTTCCTGTGCTGAAATAAACAGACACTGCACCATCAAGAGTTTTAATTTGAGCAATTAAAAAAAATAAAATATACTCTACAGCTTTAACTGTTAAATGTGGTCCAAAGTGGTTTCTTCCCAGAACACTGGTGGAGGTCATCATTCAGTCCCTTCACAGAAGCACCATGTTCCTGTCCTCTCCTTCATAAACATCAGGGATCTCTCCCATGGAGGAAGACACCATCCGGACGGAGCTACTCCCACGGAGCTCCGTCTCATACTGGACCAGCTGCTTCCAGAAGCCGCTATTGGGCCTGGCTATGGGCCGACAGCTCCTCACCCACCCGTGGGCCTCCAGGAGGGTCACCCCGCGGTGCTTCATCAGGTAGGCTATGCACAGGGCCACCGAGCGGCTCACGCCGGCGTTACAGTGCACCAACACACGGCCGCCGCTCTCCGTAGTTACCTGGATCTTATCCGCCACCTCACTGAAGTGGTCTCTGAGAGGAGACAGCGGGCTGTCCGACACCGGGATGTGGACGTACTCCACACCTGGAGGAAGAGGACGGCTGCGTTTGGTCTCGGTAGCATTGATGATACAGGTGATTCCACTTCCTGTTAGCTGGGAGGAGTCGTTGGCCGCTTTGCTATTACTTAAATAAAGATGGTCTGTTATTCGGCACAGGCCCGAGAGACCCCCGGTACCAGAAAGATGCATAAATAGACAGAAATTCACCAATACCTCCCAGTTTACACACTTCAAATCTGCTTCAAATGCTGCCTAGACGCACCAACGCCATGCTGGAAGTATGTTTTGGTACAGCAAACGAGGAAGACCAAATGTACACGAGCACGCGCTTTGTCGCCCCCTGCTGGATAAAGTTTTTACTGATTTGAGTCGCAGTTGCTATATTTTTCAACCTCAGGATTAAAATATAAACAAATAAATGCAATTACACAACTTAATTTATTATTATTAATATAAAATTCATCTAAATGATTTAGGTTAGAGCTAAGAAGAGTTTGCATGCCCACAGCTTCTGTTTTTCTTCTGCCTCCAGTCTGATGGGACTGTTGAAAAGCTCGGCTGCACCGCTTCACTGGCCATCAATTGGTACAAAGTTTATGAACGTGAAATTAGTGTGCAAACGTAACATACTTACTAAAATACAATAAAGTGTCACATAAAAGTAATAAATAAAATATGTAAATACACCTGCCAAACTAAAAATCCATGTGTCCAACTTAACCCTAAGAGACCAATGAAAACAAATGGGTCATAAGCAGAAATAACGTTTATTGTATAACATTATATCACATTAGACTTGTTTGTTGTTTCATTTACCATTTAACCATATTATATATCTTGCATATTATATTTATTTATTTACCATATTACCATCATTATCTCTTCTAATTTATCTCTATATAGGCCTCTCTGCTTCCTTATCCTCTTTTTAATGTTGTTTTATCTTTTTACATTTAACTTACTAGTCTGTCTATTTAATGATCTTTTATTTAGATTTTGTTATTGACCAGGAGTCCAAACTAGTTCCTAACTGCCTGGAAATGTCACCATGACCCTTGAGATTTAAAGAGCAAGTCCATACTGACAGTTTTAGGCAGAATATTTAAATTTTAACTAAGATGCACTAAAGTGCCAAGTTATTAACTGCAAGTGTCCACAGTATGATTAGACTCTCATTTATGTAGTTTATCAGCACAAAAAAAATCTTGATTTGGGGGTGACCTACTCTTTAAAGTTATTCTTTGGATTTTGAATAAGATAATGACATCACTAATATTTGTGTTTTGGGTGTAATTCATCAGAAATGGACTTCTAATGGTTTTCTGTGTGTAGGGCTGGGCAACAAACTGAAAATGTATCCATCCATCTGTTTTCAGACACTTATCTGGGGGCAGTAGCCTAAGCAGGGAGGTCCAGACTTCGAAAATTTATTGTTATCAAAAATTCTGACTCTAACCGATATCGTATCAAGAAATTCGATAATTTGAAAAGATGTGCGGTGGTTGGCAACGATCATGTTTTTTTAAGAAGCTGTACCACCTCGAGTCGCGTGATGACATGACTCAATTTAATACAAACACGTGGCAGCTCCATCTAAAGGACAATTTTTGTTTCTGCACATACCTGTAGTTATTGTCCATTTATCGTTACCGATGTGAAATCCTCAGTATACCGTGATACGGATTTTAGGCCACATCTCCAGCCCTACCTGTGTAGGGTGAAGTCTCCATCACCTCTTTTGCATGTCAGACTGAACATACAAAGATCAGACTTTTTTCAGGTTATTTCCTCCAACATGAACCAGAAAGATCATCCATAAAAGCAAGGCTCAGCTGTTTGTTGATTCTTATTTTTCCTGCATATTTGATCTTTTTACTGTCATTTAAACAATAACCAATCCCAAATGTGTCAAAAAATAAAGCTTCCAATCCTAAATTATTACTCTAATAGTGAAAAGGCTTATTTTTTCTAACAAAAGGCGCAGCTGATGACTAATGATGGTCTATTTGCCAAGTTGCTCAGACTGAAATAACTCTTAATAGCTGTATCGTTCCTGTAAGTGAAATTAGAGCACATCGCTGTCCTGATTGGAGGTGGTTGCGGTGTATGAGCTGCTGGTGCCTGCAGGCAGTCATCGGTTGCCCTGGAAACACAGATGGTGGATAAAGAAGGGGGCACATACAAAAGACCATAAAACCTGTGGCAGCAGCTGGAGACCGAGACAGACGATTACTTCAGAATTCTGCAGCCCCCGCTCATTCAAAGAAGCCCCTGTTCTCATTAAAACCTGCAGTTGGTTTTCTTTTTGTCCCGGGTTTCTGCCTCCACTCTACCTTGCTTTTCCTGGACTGGATGCTCTCTCTTTAGTGCGCAGCTGCTGCTGGCACACCCACATCTGCTTGTTTCAGCTCGGCAGCCATGTACGTTTCAGCCGTTTTAACAGCCTTGTGTCCGAGCTTTATAAATACTGCAGGGGAAAAATCACTGCAATCCTCTGGCAGATCAGCACGTAAAGAGAAGAGGAACCCAAAAAAGGCTGCTGAGGAAATCTCCACCTTATATGATTCTGCAGGACAGCTGGAAACCTGAAGAGCTCTGGTAGGAAAAATGCTCATCTTCTTAAATTCAATGTTTTCTGCAGAAATCAAACTGTAATTCAACTGCAAGGCTTGAAATCAATGGCCTGCAGGTTTGAAGGGAACGTCTTTCCTCGACTCCAACAGCCGTGCTCATTTTATCCAGGAAAGGCTGTCTCTTATGTTGCTGTAGGCATGCTGCATCAACAGCATAGCTAAAATATCTGGCATGGTTTGTCATCTGCAGACATAAGCCTTTCAGCACAACCTTTACTTAATACTTTGCATTGTTTGCAAATTGGTTATTCTGTTTGCAAATCTGTGCAAAATGCAAAAGATTGTATTACCACAGATGCAATGTATGTTGATTATCACCAAACAAAGGTGTATTTATTTGCTTGTTTCTTTATAGGAAAACCTGTGGTCAGTGTTGCAAGGGCTGGGCTCATCTGACACGACACCATTCAGGATGCTGGAGGATCCCAGGAGCAGGACAGGTTATGTGTCATCTCTGTTAAAACCAGCTAAGAATTTCTCATATTTGATCGGTCAGGTTATTTTCACATCTTTGTCGACATTCTCCAGCTGTCCTGCTCGATTTGGATATGATGAAACAATTTACAGAGAAGCTGTAAATTGCTTGAAGAGGCATAGCCGGATCCCTCGGGGCTTCTTGGTAGGACAGTTGGGTTGTGTCCCACTTTTCTGCTGCTTTGTGTTCTGTGTTCCTCTCCAGTTCCACCGATGAAACAGCAGACGGGGTGGTGATGGGACCTTATTGTACCCCTGCTGGCACTGCTCCATCTCCAGACTGACACAGGATCAGTCAGCTCTACAGTACTGAGACTTTTTTACTTCCCTCTCATCTACTTTAAACCTCAGTCTGTGGCTTTCTGCACACAGAACACATTCTTCTGGACTTCCATGTTTGACTGCAGCCTCTGGGCTGTTTGCGAGATGAATCAGAGATTAGTAATGTGTTAATGTGCTGCTGTCCTCTTTAGGATTACCGGGGAGATAAACGGCATCAAAGTGCAGATCGTGACCAAATCCAAGTGTCATAATCTGCTTCTAAAATGAATTTATTTAACATTTTGTAGGATTATGCTTGAAAATGGATATCTGTGCATTTTTCTTCTTTATTTCATCTGAACCCTTTCTCTTGCAGTCACGGACATTCCTGCTGTTCTGCACCTTCGGAGGGAAAATGTCCACGCTGCAGCTGTTCCTCTCCGAGAACCAGTGTTTACTTCTTCAGTGCACCAACGAAAGTGATAATAAGACTCTGTTTAATCAGATTTAGTGTTTGTGTGGGTCGTGCACATCTCTAAGGTGCCTTTATTCTCCAGTCACTTTTTCTTCGAGTCTGGTCTCTTTTTTTTCTGCACAAGATGTAATTCACTATATGAGGCGCTTTACCAGTGTCATTCTGGGAGTCTCTCCATTAAAACTGACATGCAAAGCTGTTATATTTTAGGCCTAAAGGGATGAAAACATGATGTGCTAGAGTGAGTGAAAGGCTGGTTTTCTCACCTTCAAAAAACGTGCAATTCACATGTTTAATTTTTTTTAACTTGTTTGTTGTGAAACCGGTAAAGTTTGATGTGTAACAAACTAATTTAACTTCACATTCTGTAGTGTGTGTGTGTGTGTGTGTGTGTGTGTGTGTGTGTGTGGGGGGGGGGGTGCATGCAATCCTTTGCATGTGCTCTATCTGTAGATGTGTTTACACCAGCCAGCGTGTGCATGTGTCTCCTGTAATGGGCCTGAAGCTGGAGCCACGAGTGGTTCTAGTCCCTGGATGTTCCAGAGAAAAGGGATAAAACATTATTTACTGATGGTTCTTAGCATTTGTTACAGCCTCGTTAAAGCAGCAGTGGCACTTGTGATTTAGATCAGTGGGAATTAGTGTGGTGCCGTTTGCTGAATGATGCCTGCTGGCATAAACCAAACACTCTCGCCGCCAGCAGCTCCATCATTTAACACTTAAGCAAATTGCAGCAAATGCTAATAATTATGTGTAAATAGCCTTTTATCCAGGTCTGGACTGCACTAACAGTATCTAACTAATATCTAACAGTACTAATGTCTGCTAACGTTTGGGATATTACTAACCTGTGTGGAGAATGCTGATGGCTCGTGTTTCTAACCCACTTACTAACCCCCTGCTTTACGCCACCAGTCTGAGGCGCTCGCTCCTCTCACTCCATCCTGCAATCCTTCTTTAAAGGTGTCCGAATCAGAACAGTCGCTCAAGGAAACGTATTTTAAATCATAATAGTAAATGAGCATGTGAGGAAGGCTTTCAGGAGCTGGAGGAGACCAGAGGATAAAAAGAGCCACACGTTAGAGAAGTGTGTTTAGTGTGGTCAGCCTCTTGTCAGCGAGCATTACACCAACCTCAGCTCCACTACTAACACGAGTAATGTTGATGCTAACGACGACGAGGCGGCGACACTCCTCCTACTAACACCTTTGTTGTTTCACCGAGACAGATCCGAGCATGCCTCATGGTCCTGCTGATGTGTTCTAGTCCCCGTCACGTGGAAGCTTTTAACCCTGGCCAAAACATCTGGTCTCTGCACCAACCCTCACTAACCCCAGGAGCTCTGGAAGCTCTGGAAACTAACAAACTAACCCACTAATAAACTAATCTTCTAACAGAAACTAACTCAGACCGGCGAATCTTCCTTGAATTGGGGTTTGAAGAGATAACTGAGTGTGTTTGAGGTGTGTGGGCGTGTGTGTGTGTGTGTGTTTATGCAGACACAGCAGGAAGAGATTGTTGGAGATTAGCTGGAGCCTCCAGGCCCGGAGACATGCTTAGAGGAGTGCAGGACTAGAAGAAAAAGATGAAAAAAGGGAGGATAGGAAATGGGAAATAAAAACAATCAGGTGTTCAGGACAGGGTGGGTGGGGGCTAGAAGATTAGCTTAGCTCATCAGGTGAAGCTGGCTTCAGCTGACATGTAAGAAACAACCAGTGACATGTTTATTTATTTATTTTTTTTTACATTTTTTTGGAAAACAAGCGTTCCAGGTTGTGTTTGTTCATACGACTGGAGGAAAGATGGCAGCCATCCATCTAGTCAAGGAGCCACCAGAGCTTGTGTGACATATGTGTGTTCAGAATCCTGGATGTTGTGTAAAATTTTCTAAACTTTATTCTTTTTTGTTAGGAGCTGTTCTCAGAAATAAAATTATTTTTTGTGTCACATTGTTTAATTTTTTTTGGCAAACAACCTAAACTGCTGTTATTGACTGAAAGTGAAACGGAAGTGTGTTTGGAAATCTGAATTCTGCCTCATCTGGAAAACCAGCAGTTTAGTTTCTTTGTAATGTAAAAAAAAGGACAGTTTGCTTTCTTTTTCACCACATTAAACATTAATAACATGACAAGCAGCTAAAATGCGCCATCATACACAATCATAACATTTTGTCACAACAAAAACAGGTGAGGCTCAAACATCAGAATATGGTGCAAATGTTAATTTATGTCAGTAGTTCAACTTAAAAGGTGAAACTAACATATGAGATAGACTCAGTACATGCCAAACATGATGATTATTACAGCTTATGAAAACCTCTCATTCGAAATATCAGACAATTAGAATAAAAGGTTCAATATTCTAGACTCAAAGTGTCACTTTAATCAGCTAATGAATCCTAAATACCTGCAATGGATTCCTGAGCCTTTAGATGTCTCTCAGTCTGAGTTTAATTACTGAAATAAATGAACTTTACATGAAATTGCTATTTTATGTTGTCTAATGTCTCAACAGGAATGAACTATCGTCCTGATTCTTGCTCAAAAATCAGCCTTTATGTCACAAAAAGGATACAACAATCATTTAGACACACTAGATGGATTTAGAGTGGATGTAAAATGTTTTTATGTTAAAATAAAAATTCAAAGTAATTAATAAAATCGAAAGGTGTCAAATGTTAGTGTTAATTTTATTTATTTTTATATTACATGTATTACAGCTTCATTATATTGTGTTATGTTTACTCAATTGTATATTATTGTATTTTTATTAATAAAAAAAAAGTCTAAATTTATTGTAACTACAAAAGGATCATAGGTTACCACCTCTTTATCATGCACCCCCAAGGACATCATCAACGACCTGACTTAGAGTTTGATTGTGCAGCAGGCCAACAGCAGGGGGCAGCAGCTCACCAAGTTGTAGGATTCTGGGTTTTTATTATTTCAAAATGAGCTCTGGTTTTGGATTTTCAAAGATTTTTACACAACATAAAACAAAGAACGTTTGGAGGTCTCTTATTCACTCCCGTAAAAAAGTTTGCACAAGTTGCATTTTTCTGAATTACAGAATATGCTTTAAAAATAAGAATGTGCTAAATGAGACCAGCATCTGCATCAACATGAAAGTGATGAGCTTTCACAATCATGCACAGGAAAAGATTTAGACGAGTCACCATTACGGACTAGCAGGATTAAAACTACGCATGAATTATTATAATTAAAGAACAAAAACTAAGTGACACACAAGTATTAGGCTTTTTTCTTAATAAAATTGACAATAATTAATAATAAGATTCAAAAACAGTGAAATAAATGATTAATAAAAGTGGCACCAAGGCATCAAATCAGCTTTTATTCTATGTGTCATGTTCTGAGGTATGTGCTTAACCCAAGACATGCAGAATCAGAGACCGGAGGCAAGTATGATGGTAAAAAGTAAAAATAATTTTATTTTGACAGGAGAACTAAGGGCGAACTGAAGTCCAGCGGTTTCAGATACAGGAAGTGGCGTCTACAGGGAAACAGAGGTGAGTATGGGAGTTGTAGTTCTGGGAGATTTGTTTGTAGTCGGACTTACTATGCGGAAGAGGAGTTGGAACTTGGAGGGAGAGAGAGCCGGGGTGATATCCAAAGTGAGGTAACGGTCCAAGATGATGAGTGAGACGGAGGATGGTTTGAGGAGGTTGATTCGGAGAGGGAGTGTGGTGGAGAGCGGGTCGGCTGGCGGAGGTGAAACAGGAAACGAACCAGTGATCTTCTTCCAGAGAGAGCGAGATATCCGAGGATCCAGGAACCTGAGGTGAGTACCAAAAACACATGAGCGAGTAATCCAAAAATCCAAAACACGACAAATCTTTGAGCAAAGTTTAAGCGAAATCTCGAAGGGCAAGCGACTACCAGTTAGTGGCAATCATCCGGCGTCGTAGTCTGGTCACTCTCCTCCTTATAAAGCCGGCCCACTGATGAGGAACATCTATAGCTCCCTCTCCTGCAATCAGAGCTCAAAGGTTGTGAATGAAGTGACGAGTACTCACCCCGGCTCATGACACTATGCTGTAATTGTTCTTATTGTTGGACTAAAAGCACATCTACAGAAGACCTCTGATGTTTGTTATATCTGACTGCTTTAGCGTCCTTCTCCTTCTGCTAGCCACGTTCATAAAAACACTTTTAGGGTGACAAATTAAAGTGTGGTGAAAATCTCCAGTGATCGCAATGAATGCATTACCATCCTGCATGTTTGAGCTCCCTCTCAGCACAAACACACCTGGTCTGAAACAGCAGGCGATTAACAGGCTCCTGCAGAACCCAGGGACATGCTATTCAGGTAATTCAACTGTTGAATCAGGTGCGTTAGAGCAGGAAATCATCTAAAACCTGCAGAGGAGTGGTCCTTGAGGATCTGGACTCTTGGTCTCCACTGCCCTTAAGCGCAGCTACATGAGAGTTTGATTCCGAATTCTCTTTATCTTGACCAAAACCTCATTTAGCGGCTCCTGCATTGGTGCAACTCTGAACTATTAAGTGGCAGTGTGAAGTTTCCTGGCACTAGGGGGCAGTACATTAATTTCCTGGTAGTTTTACAACCTATCTGTGACTGTCACTGGTTTAAAAAAAAACATTACAGTAAATGTTACATGTGGAGCAGAAAGCATGCAAGCATCGGCGTGACTCCTCAGACTTTGATGGTCCTTCAGTTAATCCATCAAGTGAATGCAATGATGTAGTTTTCTGGTGCTGTTCTTTCCGGAGTCGGTACCAGATCTACTCGGGGTCCTGCGCCTGCTGATGACGTTACGTTATGGCAAATCCACTCGGCTTTCACACATAAGTTTTAAAATGACATCAGCAGTTTTGTTAATAAATTCTTGTTTGTTAACACCTAAATGTTTTCTTCATAATTGTCATTTGTTAACAAAACACCATATTATCTTTGTTTTGTAAAGAATGTTAAACTGCATAAAACCAACATCAGACTGCCAAAAAGACGAAAGTTATTTTATGTGAAGCCACATCTGTTTGTATTAATGTGGAATGTGTCTGTATATTTCCATAGTTGTTATGTAAATTCATTCATTCATTCATTCATTCATTGAAATGTTGCTTGGTGTCTTTTCAATAAGGTTCTTTTTTTTTGCCCCATTTCATCAAAATCAAGATCAGTTGATATCTTTGCTTTTATTTTATATTTCCTTTGGAAATTCAAATATAATTTCTCTGAAAAGTGTTGATTTTTGGACTACAAAACTACAACTGTTAAGACTACAACTGTAAATTCATTGTCTATGTGCTATCATAACTTTAAGAACGTGGTATCGTAACTTCCATAAGTCTTACGTTCAGCCAATCACCTACTGTGATGTATTTGGCGGTAGTTTGGTCATGCTTCTTCCTACCTAAATGTTTTTGAACGTGGTATAACGTAAGTTTTCCGTAAGGCGTACGTTCAGCCAATCCTCTAGTGTGATGTCATCGACAGGCGCAGGACCCCGATCTAGCCAGAAGGAAACATAACGTCTAATATGACGTCGCTCAAAGACGCTAGACTCATGTACTTTAGACCGGATTTTTATGGTTATATTGAATGAAGCTGCCAATTTTTTTAAAAAACGGAAATCATTTTATTCATTTTCAACAACGTTTTGATGGATATTTCCAGAGGTTAAAGGTAAAAATACACATTGTCACTTTAAAACCAACATTGTCAAACATACCAACAGAAACAACTTAAGCAGCAGACTGGAACCATTTTCTCTCATCATTTGTCCCTCGTGACCCCTTTTTGGTCACGAGTAAATGAGAGGTGAACGGAGTACACAGTATGCAGTGTACCTTCATTCAAATATCCTCCCATGTTTGTTTCAGATGGGGCTCTGCTTGGCCTCCCTACTTGAGCCCAATGTGATCCAGATGACAGGGGCTTCCAAAGGTAGGGGCAGAAGGGGCCCGGGTCTCCATGGGTCAGCTGTAATTCACCACAAAGCCCAGAGAGCAGGGTCCCAACACACAGAAAACCAAACTGAACAGTGAGCCTCAATTAAAGTCTTAAATATCACACAAAGTCCAGTTCAAAGGCAGCTGTGATGGCATGAAACTAACTTTAATCTGCTTAATGACGTCCTCTCGAGAGTCTTTGGTTTTGAAAACACACCGATGCTTAAGTTAACGGGGACATGGACACCACTGAGACGTTTGTGTGTGACAGACGAGGAAAAGAAAACACTGAACCAAACTTCCACAATTATCCAATTGTTTTACTATGTGTTTGAATCCATTTATGTTTTTCCTTTAGTAAAACAAGGAACGTGACAGCATGGTGCATGTGTTTGCTCATGTGACGGTGTGTAACCGGATCCTCCGTCTCAGGCAGGAACAACAGCTCTCTCTGTGCCTCCAGTGGATTTTATTTTAGAAAGCTGTAAAATATGGAGAGGAAGGAAAAAGAAGAAAAACGTGTTTTCTCTCTGAGGTGCTGTAATCAGCAGCGCTTTGCCCCATAAAGAGTTTAAAATAGTAAATCTGCTCACAGACAGTTCAAGGGCTGAACGGGGCTTTTTTTCTATCTAAAAGTGTGTGTTTGTGTTTCAGAGCCTCCCTGCTTGTACGCTTCGTCTTGTTGAGGTGATTTATTTTTAGGCTGCCCCTCTCGTTCACGCCAGCTGTTGTTAAAAATATTTCATAAACCACAGCTCAATGATAACAGCAAAGTTTCTATGTCAAATCTGCAGAAACCAGTGCATTCAATGGTAAATTACTATATTTTTTAAATAAGATTTACAGTTAAATAGTTTTACTTGAAAAATCTAAATATTATCTACACATTTCTGCAGGATTTCATTAAAAAATGTGAAACAGTGCAGGGGGAGAATCTTGCATCTTAGCCATGGTTGTTTGTACTTTAAATGACAGGTTGGACATTTTTACCAACACTGACTCGAAGCTCAC